TACTGGTTTAGTAACAACTCAGCTGACTTTCTAGAGCTGCCACCCAGGGCAGCAGGCATTTCTTTTTCAGAAGCTTTGCTTCTGGAATCAGGAACGTCCTCCCGAGCTGCCTACCCAGTTCTCCATAAAAAAAAAAAAAAAAAAAAAAACATATTCTATAACGTCAGAGAGTCTCAGAACACAATATATGCACAGATTAGGCAAAAAGCACATCATTGCACATTCCACAATGCCCCCTGGTACTGGTTGACATATAAATGGAGTTTCTGCAACTAGTTCCAGTTCCCTAGTTTAAATCAAATCTCTCTTGTTCAGCATTTCTGCATATTCAAAAGGAAACAAACAAACAGAGGCTTCCCCAAGGGAACCCACCCTCTGCCACCAGCCACATCAGACTGGGCCTCACCTATCCCTTTGACTTCCTTTCTCCTGGGATCCCAGGCCCCAGATCCAGTCCTGGAATGCTTCCTGCTCAAAATATTGTCTTTGATCATTACACCTTCTAAAAATAATTATCACATGACCTGGCACTCAACCCAGTGTTCCTTTCTGGGACTTCCATTTCCATCTGAGTCCTGGCCCTCCTCCCAGGTGATTCTCAAGTCTCGTTCCATTTCAGGGTCAGCACTAGCGGGACCTTAGTGGACTGAAAACCCAATCATGATGTTACTATCCTAGCCCCACCAGCCAATACATGCACACCATGTATTGAGCACACCATGTATCTGAGCACATTACTTGTGCCAGAAAAGATTTGGGCCTAGAGTCAGTTGAGCAGAAACAAGAATGACATATACTAGGAAATCAAGCTAGTGATTTAATTGTTTCATGGAATCATAGGTTCTCAGACTTGAAAACAGCTTTAGAGATCATCTAGGCCAACCTCTAACCTAAGGCGAAATGCAAATTGTCCCCTTCGATATTTGGAAGATGGCCGTCTGAGCTCCCCGTTGTGCAAGATGAAATTATCAGTACCCTCCCAAATACATCTAAGGATGTCCAGAAGTGTTTATGTTGTCCAAAATGTCCTTTATGCCTCTTCCAGATATCACCTCTCTGTCCTTCATCCCTGGCCAACTCATAACAGCTTCTCCTGGCTGCCCAAGCTGTTGATCCTGTTCTCTATAAAGCCAAGCGTGGACACTGGCATCCCTTTGCTTCCCAATAGATTGCTAACTAAGGACTAGCATGTGACAAACTCTACCAGGGCCGAAAGGCAGCACATGGGGCAGGGGTTCTTCCTGACCATCTTTCTTCTTAACATTTGCCTACTACCTTGTGCTCAGAACCTGCCCTGCTCTCCTGAATGGGATGTTCCTTCCAACATCCCCTCTCCTGGGGCCCAGGCTCCTAGCTTTAGTCTCTGAGTTTGTCAGCAGAAGCCAAAATCAGTCACCATTTTTGTCAGCTCAAATTAGGTTCACCTGTGAGTGACTGAAAACCCAAAATAAAGTAGCTTAACCAAGACAGTAGTTATTTCTTCCTCCCATAAAAGTCTCGGTTGCCTGCAAGGCTGGTCTACGGTGTCAGGGACAAAGACTCCTCCTCTCTTGCTGACCTGTTCTGCAGAGGTCTTGTTAATGACTGGATGGGGTTCCAACCATCCCAGCCACATCCAAGAATTGGAATGGGGATGGCGGGGAGAAGGAACAGAGAACACACAGAAACTGTCTCATTGCATCCTGTTAGCCAAAACTTGACCTAGAGCCCCCTTGCTGCAAGCAGGCTAGAAAAAAATGTGGTCTTTATCCTGAGTAACCACGTACCTGGCTGTTATTTCCATAACTAAAGAAGAGGGTGAGAGAAAATATTGGGGATAGGGGATAAACATTGTCTCTGCTGAGTAAATATGTCTGTTGATTTCAATTCATTGTCAACTTCCCCCTTTCTTTTCTATATCCTTCCTTCACAGCTGCCATCTCCTTTTTTTCAAACCCATTGTTCCTATTCTCATTCTTGTTCATGGATTCTCACCGAGAATTTTGACACAGCCCCCCAACAGGCCTCCCTGCCCTCCAATTCACCCCTCTACCTCTCTGCTGGGCGACCTTACTGAGCAGAGCTGTTACCTCGGACCTCTCCAGGCCAGACTCCCTCAATGACTCTCCACTACCTGTAAAATGAAGCCCAACTGCACTGCCAGACATTCCCTACTCCAAGCTGGCTGTAGGGCTGGGCTTTATTTTACAATTGGTGGGAATTCATTGAAGGTGTACGGCCTGTAGAGTCTAAGGTAACAGCTCTGCTCAGCAAACATACCCAAACAGACCTTGTGTTTGCCACTGGCTTCCCCTCTTCCCCTTCATCTCTGCTTGTCAAACTCCCATCCATGTTTCAAGATCCAAGTTGACTGTCGTCTACTCTGTGGGCATTTTCCAGTTCCAGGCTTTGTCCTAGCTCTGCCAGCCTCACCTACACACACACACACACACACACACACACACACACACACACACTCCATCACCTCCCTCACCTTCTCTGCTTCTGTGTTACTGTTTCATTTCATTTTGTTTTATCTGTATTGTAGGATGATCACTTTGTATCTGTGAATCCATCTATCCCCAGCACTCTGGTAACATGGACCATACCTTGTTCATCTGTCCTGCACCCAGCAACTTGGACAAAGTGCTCAGCTGACATGCATTAAACTGATCATTGGCACGAAGAAAGTACAAATAGATGAATAAAAACCTGGAAACAATCTTTCTCAGCAACCATTCCAGAATCACACACTTTCTTTAGCTTGAACATAGGATCTAAATGCAGTTCCAGTGGAATTAAATGTATGGGTTGTTTTCTGTCTATAGCATGACTCCTTCCTGTCTGAGAACTTTCTGGAACCTAAATTGCCAGTGCAGCTGGAATCAGGGTGTCTGACAACAGGCAGCTGTCACTTCACATTTTGCAAAATATTTCCACAAAATTGCCCCAAAATGCAAAAATCTTTCATTAGGGAAAGCTGATTCATGGAATTTATAATAGAAATCCTATATGGCTGCATAATTCAGTTGAGGAAAATAGAAACGAATAAACAAGTACTGGTCTTTCCAGGCCATTCCTTTTGAGGCCAAGTCAGGGCATAGAGCACTATAGACACTGCATGACCAGCCTGTTTGAAGGGAATGTTGGAGATAAACTTCCCCACACAAAAACCCTTCTCGGTCCCAAGTCTCTGCAAACACCCACAGCTCTTGCATGTTCATAGAGACATCTCCTCCCCAGACAGAGGAGTCAATGTGGAAGGCAAAGCCAAAGCACACCAGCCCTTCAGAGACCAAAAACCCTGTGACACTCAGAATTCCTGTGTGCTGACATATACTCAGCAAAATACTTTGTGATGGTGTCACCATAACCTCTTTGGAACACATGGCTGTGGGTCCCATCCTTCCTGCCTTCCTATGTACATTTCATATGAAATCTTTCTCTCTCTAGTACATTCAACCTCTTTCTAACAACTGGTTTCTTCCAGTTCATTCTTTTTTCAGATAGAAATGGGATCTTGCTATGTTGCCCAGACTAGTCTCAAACTCCTAGCCTCAAGTGATCCTCCCACCTCTGCCTCCCATAGTGCTGGCATTATAGGTGTGGGCCACTGAGCCCGGCCTCTCCAGTTGACTTTTTTTTTTTTTTTTTTTTTTGAGACGGAGTTTCGCCCTTGTTACCCAGGCTGGAGTGCAATGGCGCGATCTCGGCTCACCGCAACCTCCGCCTCCTGGGCTCAGGCAATTCTCCTGCCTCAGCCTCCTGAGTAGCTGGGATTACAGGCACGTGCCACCATGCCCAGCTAATTTTTTGCACTTTTAGTAGAGACGGGGTTTCACCATGTTGACCAGGATGGTCTCGATCTCTCGACCTCGTGATCCACCCGTCTCGGCCTCCCAAAGTGCTGGGATTACAGGCTTGAGCCACCGCGCCCGGCTCCAGTTGACTTTTAATACTTAAACTTTTCACTTGAGAAAAATTAGCTTCCCTCAGGCTTCCTTTTGCTGGCTCATCCCCTTCTCCCTGTCTTTTACTTGTTAAGATTCTTCTGGATCAGTCATCAGAACTTAATAGTTCTCCCTCCACACTATCTGGAAAGTTGTGCCCATACCCACAGCTTCCATAAACACCAATTCTCACATGAGTCATCATTTTCTGTGTCAAACCCAGATACCTCCCAGCCCCATGCCCATCAGCCCAGCTGCCTACTTATCATCTCTGTTAGACATCTCAAAAGTATCTCAAATTAACCAGGTCCAAAACCAAACTCTCATTTCCATCTCCCAATCCTTCAGACAAAGAAACAATAAAAAAGACAAGACTCTTCTCCTAGTGTTTCCTAACTTCCTGAATGATATCCACCAGGCAGATAAGCATAAACCAGAACCCATCATGGGCATTATCTTCTCCCTGGTATTTCCCATAGCCAGGCTAGCACCAAATCATATTAATTTACCTGTAGATCCTTCAACTCTTCAAACATTTCCCATCATAGGCCTTTAATGTGATGTTCCATGGCCTAGAAAGTTCTCCTTCCCTCTCCTGGCTACCTGGTCGATGATGAGGCAAATGATAACAGGCTGCAGAAGCTTTTCATAATAAAGGCAAAGAAACCAGAACACCACTTTAGCACAGATAAATGACTGTGGAGATCTATCTTTCAAAATCATAGTGAAAAGACCATATGTTCTTTAGGAAAACGTTTCCAAGCTCTTAATTCACTGAAAACCAATTCTTAGAGAGGTAATTCCACACACTCACTTTTAAGCAAGTTGACTTGCTTCCATGTTTCTCCATTTGTGACCCTGATGCCTGGGTCATCTGTATTACAATGTTTATTAGAAACACAAGCCATCCCAGACATGTAGAGCCAGGAACCTGAATCTTAACTAGCCCAGGTGATTCATATGCAAGCTAAAATTTGAAATCAAGACTGCAGTTCTAGAGAGTAGACTGCCATGCTTTGCAACTCTCTTAAGCCAGCCTTCCCCTGTCTCCTAGCAACAATTGAACAATGACAAGTACCTGCCAAACGCTGTTGTGGAAACCTCTTTCCTGGGAAAACAAAGGTATTTTGCTTTCTAAATTCTATAGGAATAAAACTGCTTTAGAAAAGGATAATTTGGCCACCAAGGAAGTTGGGAGAAATAGTTTTCTCTTTGGAGCTGAGCTGAGGGTGTTTACAAGACCCTCTGGCCAGTGGGCTAGATCCGGGACTGACCTTGGGCAGTAGGGCCAGCAGGAGGCAGAGCTTTGCAAGGTTTTGGCATCTGGGAGTTAGAGAGAGGCTTCAGCCATGGATAGCCTTGTGACTTTGAACTGCAGTACTTCCATATGGACCAAGAGGGTTAGGAGATGGACAGAGATCAGGGGAGAAATGCTTTGCTTGAAATGTGACAGAAAAACCCTATCCTACAATTAAGTTTCTATGTCTCCTGTATTTATTTCACTTTAGGTCATGACATTTTGAGCACAATCAAGTGTGGGATGCATTCATCAATAGAGCTGGAAGCACCAACCACCATAGGAGGTAAACTATTATAATAATTATAATAAAAGATAGATAGATAGATAGATAGATAGATAGATAGATAGATGTTGTGGTTACTATACACCTAGAACACTGTGTTCACTGGCTATCATCTCTTCAACATCTATGAAAAGTAGACAAAAGTATTAGCACAACACAGAAGAAAAAACAAAACTAAAGTGTGAAATGTATAGTAATTTTCCCAAGGTCATGCAGCTAGAAGAGTGGAGCTGGGATCTGGAACCAGATCTGTGCCTTTCCACCGAGCCTTGATAGGTAGGAGTTAAACCTATGTGGGGTATTGATGAGTCCATTCCGTCCTTGTGCAAAGCCACCTCCTCCACTGGGATCCCCCAATTTTATCTCTGGCCACCAAGGAAGTTGGGAGAAATAGTTTTCTCTTCGGAGCTGAGTTGAGGGTGTTTATAAGATCCTCTGGCCAGTAGGCTAGACCCAGGACTGACCTACCTACTTGCACTTTACTTTCTGCTTCTGTAAATTTGATTCTTTTAGATTCGCCATATAAATGAGTTTTTCATCCTGTCTGCATCACCCCAAACCCACTGTCACTAATCATCTTCCCATCATTCAAGCACCTGTGAATGCTCACTAAGATGTACCAACAGGAAGACCACGACTTCAAGTCTTCAACCAGTCCCTGAAAACATGTGAGTCATTTGCTGTTGTGAATAATTTATGTTTTTAAGTTTGCATATTGAATTAGCTTAAAGTATGTTCCTAGCCTGACTTACTGAGGAATTTCAGATCTGCTGACCAGTAAACAGCAGAACAAGGTTGGCCCCTGAGTGGGCAGCAATGAGATGAAATAGAGTTCCCTGATAAGAGGCATATCGGGATCTTGCTTGAATAAATCAGCTTTGAAAGACATTTAGAAACCACTGAAAATTTTCAGTATAGACTAGGTGTCAGCTGACGCTGAGAAATTATTACTAATTTTGTTAGACTAAAGTGGTACTGTAGTTATAGGAAAATATGTTCATTTTTACAGGCACATGTTAAGCATTTCAAATTAAAATAAAGTTATGTCTATAATTTACTTCAAATTCTTCAGAAAAATATTAAAAATAGATTAAGTAAATATAGTAAAATGTTAACAATTGTTAAATCTAGGTAATGAATAAGTTGTGTTCATCTTACTATTCTCTATTTTTCAAAAAATTCAACATGTTCATAATAAGAGGCTTGTTTAGAGAGTTTTGCTACCAAGGCAAGGCAAAGTAATCTAATCTTTATGTGCTAGGCACTTAATAAACCTTATCTTATTTTGTTGTAACACTAATAAGTAAAATATTAATTTTACTAATGTATGAAATGTACTAAAGTATGAAATGTATAGTGATTTTCCCAAGGTCATGCAGCTAGAAGAGCAGCATATATCTATTTTATAGATAAGAATTACAAATCTGAAAGAGATTCATAACATAAAAGATGGAGGTTTAGGCTTTAATCAAATGAATCTCAACCTTTGGCTATCAGGTCATCTCTAGATCTAGGGGGAAATCATTTCTACATAAAGGCTGCCCTTTGTCAGGCTCCACTTCCTGGAACTAAATTTAATTACGGTGAGATGGGAAGGTTCCAAAGGCATTTTGTCCATTTTTCCTCCTGAATTGTTATGTCTCTGAGTATGTTTCCCACGATATAATAGGAAGATTCTGATTATGTCCTCATTTCAAAGCTAAAGAGGCCTTTATATAATCAAGAAGCTCTGAGACAAGCTTCTTTCATACAGACTTTGAAGGACTTTTCTGTTGAATCAGACACCTTTTCAGCAACTAGAAAGGGAAGAGGCACAAAGGGAAGGGAAGAGGCTCAAAGATATCTAGCCATCACTCCAGACACTGAACTCATGAAGATCAAATATATTCAGGCTTCCATCCTCAGCTATCAATGCTTATGTTAACTTACAGTGTGCACTCTCTTCAGACAGTGAATGATGTAATGAGCACCATTAAAGTTGGAGTTTTCATTCTACGTGATTGACAGCAACAGTTCTGCAGGCTAGAGACCAATAGCAAAGCCAGCCTCCCAGCCCCACCCCACCCCCTAGCCAACCCAAATATTGGCCAGTTCTAATAGTATCAGCACTCATGAGATGTTAGGCCAGTTCCTCTGAAAATAGGGCAGGCAGATAAAAATCTAGGAACCCTGAAAACAGGAGCCAGCACATGTCGACTCACACTAAGAAGTATACCATCATTAGCAACATAAGTGGGTAACATTAGACCTAGAAAAATTTTTTGCAAGATATCTTTCTCTGGAATTGGGCTTTATTTTTAATTAAGTGCATCTTTCATCTTGAGTTCTTATCAAGGCTGACGTTGTAAAAGAGTGAGTAAGCAATTATCTGGGTGGGGTACTAAAAAGGATTTCAGGAAATACTTTCTTCATCCCCTCACTGATCTCTGAAATTCCTTTTAAGGCATGATTCCTTTGGTTTAAGGCTTGGGCCTCTGGAAAAACAAAACATAAAGCAGAAAAGAAAAAAAAAAAACTCCTGAAGTTTTGTCAGGCATTCATATTACAGCGTAAATAAGTTGCAGATAGTGAGAACAGGTTTTAGTGGAAGGGTTATAGCAAGGAGATATTGATACCTAATTGTGATGGGTGAGGAGGGAACATAAGGGAAGACAGAAGAACAACTAAGAATGTATTTTGCATCCACTTAACCTTTTCTCGAGTCTGCTCTAGGTCTTACAGTACCCTTCAAAGACATTTTTGCACCGAGAACAAACATCTTTCCATGTTTAATAAGGACCTGAAGCTCATGCTTTCACCTAAAGACACACAGTAAAAATAATATAAACCTTTAAAGTCTGTTTTCTCCACTAGCCCAGATCCCTTTGGTATAGTAAATACGATTTTATGATACTGAACTTTGTCTTGGGCTGAATTGTGTCCCCCCAAAAATTCCTGTGTTGAAGTTCTAACCCCCAGTATTTGGACATAAGGTCTTTAAAGAGGTACCTAAGGTAAATGAAGTTATCAAGGTGGGTTCTCATGACTGATATCCTATAACAGCAGATCAAGTCACAGATACACATAGAGGGAAGGCCACGTGAAGACAAACCCATAGGTGGTGAAGATGGCCACCTATCAGCCAAGGAGAAAGGCCTCCAAGGAAACCACATTTGCCAACACCTTGATTCAGCTCTCCTTCAGCCTTCAGAATTATGAGAGAATCCATTTCTGTGGTTTAATTCACCTTGTCTGTGATACTGTGATACTGTCAGCCCTAGCAAACTAATAAAAATTCCAAAATGCATAATGCTTTTCACCTTGAATTGCTATTATTTTTAACTAAGAATAATGGTACAGCTAGTGCTCGACTTACGACCACAATTGGTTCCGACAGACCAGTCGTAACATTATTTGGTCGTAAGTTGAGTAGGCTATATGTACAGTACTGTGAAATGATGTTATAAAAATCTTTAAGTCATATTTTATCATAATTTTCTTTCATTATTGTTATATATCATAATTTTCTTTGTTCATTTTATGCCATTTGTATCATCTCTACACCATTTTGTTTCTTATTTTTACATTCATCAGGTTTAAGTAAAACACTGCATTACCAGTACAATGGGTTTAATATTTGCAAAACATACAAAATTACAAAATACAGGTGCATAAAAAATACAAAATACAGGTGTAAAAATTACCATAGGAAACATTCTCCATTTCATGGATGGGCCTGCTTTGTTGCTTTGTTATAACTGTTGATCACATGGGTGCAGAACCTTTCACAGCTCACGAATTCTTTATCTTTTAAAACCGTCGACACAGTCGAGTGTGATAACTTCGTATCACGTGCGATCACATTCACTTTCTTTCCTCCTTCGTACTGCTTCATTACCTTCATTTTCGTGTCGAGATTGATGGCCTTTCTTTCCTTCTTGGCAGGCTGAGGCGTAGACAAAGACAATTTCCTCTTGGTAGACATCTTGGGAGGTGTCCAAAATATCCAAGACACAAAACACAAATTGCTGTACAGAGTCTGGGATAACAGTTGAAATGGTGCACGTGGAGATGGTAGTGCTGCCGGAAGCTGGTCCGCACTGTCGTACGCCCAGCTGGGCAACATTTGCGCTGCCAGATGCAGAGCAGTTGTGGCTAGCAATTGCGGTCGTAAAGTCGAATGGTCATAAGTTGCATAGGTCGTAAGTCGATCAATGCCTAGTATGTGTTTATTCATATGGGGCACTTAGTCCTGCCCCACTGTGTTGTTCAAGAAGCCCCTCTGGGGCATTAGTCATCAGAATTTCTCAAAAGCTGGTCACATGAAATGCAAAGAAACCAAACAGACTAAAGTCATCAAAAGAATTTATTGCAGCCAGTTGCCAATAGAATTTGGCCAATATGAACTGTTTCTCAGAAAAAAAAAAAAAAAAAAAAAAAAAAATCCAGGTATCATTCAAGAGTTTTCACGCCAAATGGTCACCCAAGTTTCTTTTGATGCTGTTTTACTTCTAGAAACATCCAGGTCACTCTTTCTTGTCCACATTTTGCATTTTGTGTCCTTTACATAACTTTCAGAGGCCAGCAAGAATTTCTATTGACGATGGTTTCTCATGCATTGCTTGTGGGAAAGTATAATCAAATGGTGCAGCTCCTTTGGAAAACTGACTAGTGGTTCCTCAAAGGTTTAAACATAAAGTCACCAAATGACCTAGATATTCCACACCTAGATACAGAGCCAAGAGAAATGAAAGTGTATGTCCACACAAAAATTTGCATACAATTATTCATAGCAGCATCATTCATAAAAGCCAAAAGTGTGAACAACCCAAATGTTCATCAACTGATAACTTGTTAAACAAAATGTGGTCTATCCATGCAATGGAATATTACTCAGTGATAGAAAGGAATAAAGTTCTGATGCATGCTACAACATGGATGAACTCTGAAAACATTATACCAAGTGAAAGAAGCCTGTCAGAAAATGCCACATACAGCATGATTCCATTTATGCAAAATGTCTAGAATAGATCAATCTATAGAGACAGAAAGTAGATTAGTGGCTGCCAGGAATTGGGGGTGAGAGGGATTAGAGGATGACAGCTAATGGGTAGAGGATTTCCTTTTGGAATGATGAAATGTTCCAAATCAATTGTGATGGTTGCATAACTCTTTAAGTATGTTAAAATCTACTGAACCGTATTCTTTAAATGGGTGAAATGTTATGTGACTTACATCTCCAAAAAGCTACTCTACTGTATATTTACATATGCTTCCTCATCTCCCATTTTCCTTCGCCTATACTCTTCTTCCCAATCCCAATGTATACACCACAGGCTTCCCTTTGACAGAAGTCATAAAAAGGGGAATTCAGGATAGGGATCGCAGTAGACAGGCATTAAGGCCTTTTTCAAATCTCAAGAATTTAAAATGTCTATTGGTCACCTACTGTAATACTTTCCTATTGCTGTAACAATAAATCACCGCAAACCAGGTGGCATAAAATGACACAGATTTAGTATTTCACAGTTCTGGAGATCAGAAGTCTGAACTGGATTTCATGGTGCTAAAATCGAGGTGTCAGCAGGGCTACGTTCCTTCTGGAGGCTCTACAGGGAATCTGCTCCCTGGCCTTTTCCAGCTTCCAGATGTTGCCTGCATCCTTGACTCATGGTTCCTTCCTCCATCCTCAAATCTTGTTTTAACTCTTTTAAGGACCTATGCAATTGTACTGAACCCACCTAGATAATCCAGGATAATCTCCTCATCTCAAATCTTTAATATAATCATATATGCAAAGTCCTTTTGCCCTGTGAGACCACATGTTCACAGGTTCCAGGGATTAGAACATGCACATGTTTCGGGAGCATTATTCTGCCTTCCATCCTTCCAGACAAAACCTTCCTTCCAGACAAAACCATCAGTTCACAGACATAATACAATAAAAAGAAAAAAAAAAACAGAGACTGAAATGGGAAACATCCAAAATGACACAGCAGATTAGAGATGAGAGTAGAGGTGCACCTATGTGCCTGAAGATGCAAGAAAGCATCAGCAGAAAACACAGCGGTGATGAAGGAAGAGCAGAGGCATGATGAAAGGGGTACTCTTAGGGGAGCTAAGAAAGGACAAGATCAAAAGTGCAGGGACAAGCCTTAATGCCAGGTGAAAGGAACAACTTAGCAAACTAGCATACAATCCCACAATAAAATTTGATACAGTCATTAAAGCAAGGTTCTCAAAAAATAGTTAACAGCATGGAAAATACTCTCTGTATAACATTAATTTTTTTTTTTTTTTTTTTTTTTTTTTGAGACGGAGTTTCGCTCTTGTTACCCAGGCTGGAGCGCAATGGCGCAATCTCGGCTCACCGCAACCTCCACCTCCTGGGTTCAGGCAATTCTCCTGCCTCAGCCTCCTGAGAGCTGGGATTACAGGCACGCGCCACCATGCCCAGCTAATTTTTGTATTTTTAGTAGAGACGGGGTTTCACCATGTTGACCAGGAAGGTCTCGATCTCTTGACCTCGTGATCCACCCGCCTCGGCCTCCCAGAGTGCTGGGATTACAGGCGTGAGCCACTGCGCCTGGCCATAACATTAATTTTTAAGTGCCACTCAAATTAGTGTACAATAGAATTGTAATTTTATTATTTTTAAAAATGTACCTAGGAAAAAAAAATAAGAAAGACCTCATTATGTTAACAGCAACTTTCTCTGTGTGGTGGGATTATGAGTGATAATTATTTTCTTCTTTTACAGCTCACATTTTTCAAATTTTCTGCAATAAATACGTATTACTTTTACAATCAGGAAGGTAATTCCAGAGTACAGGTGGAAGACATGGCACTTAGGAAGAAAACTATCTTTTTATCTCAGACAAAAGAGAAGAAAGAACAAAAGTGCGTAGAAACAAATACTTGGAAAAAGAAAGGAAAGTAGGGTCAGTGAGGAAACTCATGACAGACAAATGTCTCAGTCAAATCAAGAAGTCAATATTCCTTAGAAAGCATTTCTGCAAAGAGGCAATTTTCCCCTTGAGTAAAGAAGACAGTTTTGAGTTTTGTTCATTTTAGAATTTTAGCACCTTTAAATGAGAAATGTCAGGAAGAAACATGGTGAAATTAATCTGCAGTCCAACTGTTCTCCAAACTTAACAAAAATCATTAAGAGCCATGAGTCTCCACAGGCGCCTGCTAACTTTAGTAAAGCAAAGTAGGGCAGCCCTCTTCATTTACTGACAATTATTCCTGGCTACCATCACGTCAGCTGCCACTCATCTGCCATTCATTGATATTGCATTTGCCCTGCAAACTAAGTAATCAGCAATAACTAATAGTCCATAACCAGCCAATGGCCAAATTAGCCTCAGCTCTCTCATCTGGAAAAGGAAGACATGCTTTCAACATCTGAGGAGAAGGTAGCAATATTCAAACTGATTTGAGCATAGGAAATAGGGCCGTGCTTCACTGCTATGCCCAATGAATTCAACAGTCTATCTCTGACACCAGCAGGATGTTTCTGGCTACAGCTTAATGGTTTTCTCTGTTCTCAACATCCTAACTTTCCATTAAAATGGTCTCTTAAGAGAACTGTAGATCCAATGCCTTCATTTTACAGAGAAGAAAACTGGGTCAGGCATGGTGCCTCATGCCTGTAATCCCAGCACCGTGGGAGGCCAAGGTGGGCAGATCACGAGGTCAGGAGTTTGAGACCAGCCTGATCAACATGGTGAAACCTCATCTCTACTAAAAATACAAAAATTAGCTGGTTGTGGTGGTGCACACCTGTATCCCAGCTATTCAGGAGGCTGAGGCAGGAGAATCGCTTGAACCAAGGCGGCGGAGCTTGCAGTGAGCAGAGATCATGCCATTGCACTACAGCCTGGGGGAACAGACCAAGACTCTGTCTCAAAAAAGAAAGAAAGAAAGAAAACTGAAGCCCAGAGAAATTAATTGACTTCCCCAAAGTCTCATAGCTAGTTGACGGTAGAGTTGAGAAGATAAATCAGGCTTGCAGATATCAGGCACCTCTTCACTCTCCCTCACCAACGCCCCCATCTATGCTTGATAGAAATGAGTACCAGAATGGTGGGATGGGTGGGCACCACACATTGTCCAGGACAACTAATGAAGATGCTGGGACTTGAAGAACATATGTTCACAAGAGAAACA